GCGGAGGTTGCGGTGAGCCGAGATCGCGCCATTGCACTCCAGCCTGGGTAACAAGAGCGAAACTCCGTCTCAAAAAAAAAAAAAAAAGAAAAGAAAAAGAGCATTGACAAAACTCCCACAACTAACATCATACTTCCTGGTGAGAGACTGAATGTGTTTCCCGTAAAACAGGGAACAAGGGCCTGGCACAGTGGTTCACACCTGTAATCCCAGCGCTTTGGGAAGCCAAGGTGGGTTGATTACCAGGTCAGGAGTTCAAGACCAGCCTGGCCAAGATGGTGAAACCCCCATCTCTACTAAAAATACAAAAATTAGCCAGGTGTGGTGGCTGGCGCCTATAATCCCAGCTACATGAGAGGCTGAGATGGAGATTTACTTGAACTTGGGAGGGGGAGGTCGCAGTGAGCCGAGATCACGCCACTGCACTCCAGCCTGGGTGAGAGAGTGAGACTCTATCTCAAGGGAAAAAAAAAAAAACCCAAAACAAAACGGAACAAGGTAAGGATGTCTAATGTTATTATTTTTATTCAATGGAAGTCTGTACAATAAGGAAAAAAAAGAAATAAAAAGCTGTCAGCTTAGAAAGAAATAATAATAATAAAAAATTCCCTATTTGCAGATGAAATTACATAAAAAATCCCAACGAATGTATACAAAAACCCCCTAAAATTAGTAAGGGTGTTAAGCAAGATGGCAGGTTACAAGACCCACACACAAAACCAGTTATTCAGAATGCAGCACAGAGAGACAAAAAGTTGGAAAATACAGACGGTAAGTTAAAAATAAAGGCTTCTTGTGTTCGAATTCCAGAAGGAGAGAGAAAATGAGACAGGCATCTGAAGAAAAATGACTGCAATTTCCCAAAACGGGTGGAAGATACCAACCCACAGATTATAGAAATCTAAAGACTTCCAAGCAAGACACAAAAGAAAAAATATCCCACTTAGACTTATGATAGTGAAATCGCAGAACAGTGAAAGATGGAGAGCTGAGGTGGGAGAAGTCAAGGGCCAAGTGAAACGATTTACACCTTGGACTTAACAATAAAGGCAAATTTGTACGTGCACAGTTTAGTACCTGCCAAACCCCTTACACACATTAGGTGATTTACTCCTTACAGCAACTGTATTAGGTAGATTCTATTACGTCTCTCTCCCTTTTCTTTCTTTCTCTCTCTCTTTCTTTTTCTCTTTCTCTCTCTCTCTCTTTCTCTCTCTTTCTCTCTCTCTTTCGATGGGAGTTTCACTCTTGTTGCCCAGGCTGGAGTGTGATGGTGCGATCTCAGCTCACTGCAACCTCCACTTCCCAGATTCAAGCAATTCTCCTGCCTCAGGCTCCCGAGTAACTGGGATTACAGGCATGCGCCACCACGCCTGGCTAATTTTTTTATTTTTTAGTAGAGACCGGGTTTCACCATGTTGGCAAGGCTGGTTTAGAACTCCTGACCTCAGGTGATCCACCCGCCTTGGCCTCCCAAAGTGCTGGGATTACAGGTGTGAGCCACCGCGCCCCGCCTACTGCTTTCATTCTACAGATGAGGGAGTTGAGATTTGGTTACTTGCCCAAAAGGGCACACTTTATCCGTGTAGAGGTAGGATTTTTAACAAGGTAGTTCTTGCTCTAGTTTTGTGCCCCTAACCACTACACATATTTGTCTCTCCAAAGGGCAATGGGAAAATGGGAAGGCATTGAAAGACTTTAAACTGGGGAGTGATAACATTTGTTTTTGGAAGATCCCGGCACCACTGTGGGTAGTGGATTCAATGGGGCTAAGGGTGGAAGTAAAGAAACTGTTGGAATAGCGTAACTCCAAACAGGGATGGCCTGAATGACCTCGGGAGGTGGCAGAAGGGGTAGACAGAAGCAAATGGACTTGCGAGCTCTTCCGGAACCGAGTCCATAGGGGTTGACCTGGGATCACGTTTAACTCCGGGTGGAGAGTGAGGATGATAACCCGGTTTCTGACGCGGACAATTCGGTGGATAGTGAAAGTCATTCACGAGGTGGAATGAGGTGGGGCGCACAGGTGGCTTGGAGGCCTGAAGGCGAGCTCGGCTTTGGACACGGTAGATTTGCGGCTTCTGTAAAGCCGGCTGCCAGCCGAGGGGCAAGAAACGGCGCAAAGGGCCGAGACCAGAGGCCAAGTCTGTGGAGCTCTCAGTGCAGGATCTTCGAGAGTCCACGCCGGAGCGCGTCGCTGCGTGCGTTTCCGGAAGCCGCGCGCGCAGGCGCAGTGCGGGGGGCGCCCCCTGGCGGCGCAGGGACCGCCCCCAGCCTCGCGCCGCCGCCGCCCGCCTCAGCCCAACATGGCGATGCACAACAAGGCGGCGCCGCCGCAGATCCCAGACACCCGGCGGGAGCTGGCGGAGCTCGTGAAGCGGAAGCAGGAGTTGGCGGTGAGGGGTTGGGACCGGGGTTGCCCGGCATGGGGCCCCGCTCCTGCGCTGCCTCCAGGCCCCGAGCCTGGCCGCGCCCGGCCGTTCATTATTCCGGGGGCGCGCCGCGGTGGGCCGGGAGCTCGGCGGCCTGAGGCCACCGGCAGTTCGGCTTCCGGGCTGTGCGAATCCGGAGCGGGGAGGGAGCCAGGAGCCCGGAGCGTGGGAGGGGGAGGGGCACCAGCAGCCTCAGGAGGGGGCGTGGAGAGAGGATGGTGCCGGGGCTCTGGGCTCCGGCGCTAGGAAGGGCGAGCGTCCGTGAGCCGCGGTGCTGGGCGAGGCGGGCGAGTCCGTGATCTTTGCGGGGTGTGGGGTGGGGAGGGAGGCAGGTCTGGGAGGGGGTTCTAGTCACCCTGTCTGGACTTTAGAGGATGGTGGGGAGCGTGTTCTTTTTGGCTCCAGGAGTAGATCCGTTGAATGGAGGTTTTTGATAGACAAGGATGTGATGTGTTTGGGAGCATCTAGAAGGTGACAGGCGAGGGAAAAAACATATTTTGGAGAATTCGCAATTGTGACAGGCACCCAGGATCCCGTGCACCCTGGTGGCTAAGCTCTTCCTGCCCTCGCGTCTCAGCTTGAGCACCCGGGAGGCCCCTCTCACCTGAAGCTGCCTTTCCAGGTTTCCATAGCAACTGGCAGTCCAGTGCCGGCGGCCTCTTTGAGCCTGCGAGAGGGGAGCAGGGGAGGGGGTTGACGCTGAAAGGCTGCTCACCCTCCCCTCCTCTGGTAGCGATACCTTTTGTGCGTGGGAGTGGGTATTGCGCAAGTTCTGCCTTAGCCTGGGTTCTTGACTCCGGATTTCTGTGAACCCTCTGAAGTTTATGCAACATTTCGCGTGTGTGTTTTTCTGGGGACATGCTTTATACATTCAGGGGTCCATCATCCCTAAAGGTCTAGACTGGCTTAGCCCTAATCGTCCTGCCCGTCCCTGTATCATCCATCTCTCCACAAGGGTAGTGTGGGCAAGCTTGCGTTTACAAATCTAATATCAGGATTTCATTTGGGTTAAGACTTAAGTGTTTGCATTTACAAGGCTTTATTCATGTCCCTGTTTTTCATCTCTCAGGAAACACTAGCAAACTTGGAGCGACAGATCTATGCTTTTGAGGGAAGCTACCTGGAAGACACACAGATGTATGGCAATATTATTCGTGGCTGGGATCGGTATCTGACCAATCAAAAGTGAGTGTCGGAAGCCAGTAGTGTTCCTATTGTGCTTTAGCAACTTTGGTTTGCAGGGCTGGATGCCCTTAGTAGCAACTTTGCTGGAGGCAGTAGTAAAGTGGTGGTGTGGTCTGGACTTGAACTCTTGGACTCTGGCTCAGGCCCTGCCTCACTGAATAATCTTAGACAAAGCTCACATCTGTAAAATAAGAAAAGTGGGCCTATGGCACAGGGTGGTTGTGTGAGGCTTAAATGAAATATAGCATATGACAGTATTTTACACAGCAGCACTCTATTACATTTTTTACACATTTTAATCAGTTGTCAGTTCTACCCTCACAGTATTTTTCTTTTCTTTTTTCTTTTTCCTCCTGGGTAGCTGGGAATTACAGGTGCATGCCACCATGCCTGGCTAATTTTTTAAATTTTAGTAGAGATGGGTGTCTCCATGTTGGCCAGGCTGGTCTCGAACTCTTGACCTCAGGGGATCCACCTGCCTCAGCCTCCCAAAGAGCTGGGATTACAGGTATAAGCCACTGCGCTTGGCTAAAAGTTCATTTTTTCCCATTGTGATTAACAAGTAATTTTGGATGCTACATTTTCAGATGTTATGAATATACTGCTCCCTCTAAATTTGTATTCAGTTGTTAGGTATACACTGTTGATGCTTATCTGAATCCATTATTACACTGGAAGTTGTAAAATAGTGGTTCTCTAATTTTATTATTCCCTTTATATATTTATTACTGGAATTCTGAAGAGGAGTCTTCCTTTTTTGTCTTCTTTTCCTTTCATTCTCCCACATTTGCCCCTAATGTGGTCAGAGGGAGCCTCCTCAAGCTGGTTTGTTTGTCATTTTGACATGACCCTTTTACTCTTTGAGCATTCCATTGCTTTCTGGCCCAAAAGATATCCCATATTTACCTTGTGCATTTTCTGTCCCAGACCTGGTATCAGCCATTCCTCTTAGGAACCCTGGTTCTTTCTTTAAATTTGAGAATTAAGTTTATTTAAGAGACACTTCATATCACTCATCTGTTCTAGACTTTTAAAATAATAAACATTAAAATAAATACATATGGGCTGGGCACAGTGGCTCACGCCTAGAATCTCAGGCTGAGGCGGGCAGATCACCTGAGATCAGGAGTTCAAGACCAGCCTGGCCAAGAAGGCAAAACCCCATCTCTACTAAAAATACAAAAATTGGCTGGGTGTGGTGGCTCACGCTACCTTTAATCCTAGCACTTGGGAGGCCGAGGCGGGTGGATCACCTGAGATTGGGAGTTCGAGACCAGCTTGACCAACATGGAGAAACCTTGTCTGTACTAAAAATATAAAATTAGCCGGACGTGGTGGCGCATGCCTGTAATCCCAACTACTCAGGAGGTTGAGGCAGGAGAATCACTTGAACCCAGGAGGCGGAGGTTGTGGTGAGCGGAGATCACACCATTGTACTCCAGCCTGGGCAACAAGAGTGAAATTTCGTCTCAAAGAAAAATAAATTAACCAGCCATAGTGGGGTGTACCTATAGTTCCAGCTACTCTAGAGGCTGAGGCAGGAGAATTACTTGAACCCAGAAAGTGGAGGTTGCAGTGACCTGAAATCACACCACTGTACTCCAGCCTGAGAGACAGAGTGAGACGCTGTCTCAAAAAGAAAAAAAAAAAAAATAAATAAGGCCAGGTGCAATGGCTCATTCCTATAATCCAAGCACTTTGAGAAGGCCAAGATGAGTGGATTATGAGGTCAGCAGTTCAAGACCAGTCTGGCCAACATGGTGAAACCTGTCTCTACTAGAGATAAAAAAAAATTAGCTGGGTGTGGTGGCATGCACCTGTAATCCCAGGTACTTGGGAGGCTGAGGCAGGAGAATTGCTTGAACCCGGGAGGCGGAGGTTGCAGTGAGCCGAGATTTCATCACTGCACTCCATCCTGGGTGACAGGGTGAGATTGTCTCAAAAAAAAAAAGGCTGGGCATGGTAGCTCATGCCTGTAATCTCAGCATTTTAGGAGACCGAGGTAAGTGGGTCACCTGAGGTTAGGAGTTCGAGACCAGCCTGGCCAGTATGGCAAAACCCTGTCTCTACTAAAAATACAAAAATTAACTGGGCATGGTGGCGGAGGTTGCAGTGAGCCAAGATTGTGCCACTGCACTCCAGCCTGGGTGACAGGGCATGGTGGCAGGCACCTGTAATCCCAGCTACTTGAGAGCCTGAGGCAGGAGAATCACTTGAACCCGGGATGCAGAGATTGCAATGAGCTGAGATTATGCCATTGTACTCCAACCTGGACAACAGCGCAAGACTTTATCATACATACATACATACATAAAATGAACATGTGAGAGCAAGACTTCGTCGTACATACATATATACATAAAATGAACATGTGAAGCAATTAAATCTCACGTCCTACAGTGGGGCATATACCATATATTGGAAAACATTGTTTTCTGTGTTCAGCATAAAGGCCGTTTGGGCCATTCTAAGTGATATGGAGGCTTCCTGTATGGAACATGAGTCCTGCTTGAGCCATAGACATAGCTTGGTGCTCATAATGAGTTTCTTTTGTGTGTTTTAGAAACTCCAATAGCAAAAATGATCGAAGGAACCGGAAGTTTAAGGAAGCTGAGCGGCTCTTCAGTAAATCCTCAGTTACCTCAGCAGCTGTAAGTGGTGGTGGTGGGGGAATATTTCTGTGGGCTGTTGTTGGGGAATGTGAGTTTTCTCTTTCCTTTCCTCTGGGAATGCTCTTCTGAGGTCTGTGGTCACTTTTCTAGTAACTGGTGGCTTTTCTTTTAGGCAGTAAGTGCATTGGCAGGAGTTCAGGACCCGCTCATTGAAAAGAGTAAGTTTATGTTTTTATGTTTCTCATCAGTTTATTTTTAAGCTACCATAGCCCTTATATTTAATTCATCTGGTTGTGTATCTGAGGACTGCATTTCTTATGCTCTTCCCTCTTCTTCCTAGAAGTTATTAAACTTTTAGGGTATCCTTAATCATGTTTTCTCCACTTCCCCATTTCAGACAAGATCTTACTCTGTAGCCCAAGCTCTGGAGTACAGTGACATGATCATAGCTCACTGCAGCCTCAAACTCCTAGGCTCAAGCAGTCCTCCTGCCTCAGCCTCCTAGGTAGCTAGGACCACAGGCATCTGCCACAACACCTGGCTAATTTTTCAATATAAAAGAGACAAGGTCTCTTTTTTACATTAAAAAAATTTTTTTTATTTTAAATTTTTAAAGAGACAAGGTCTCAACTATGTTGCCCAGACTAGTCTAGAATTCCTGGCATTAAATAATCCTCGAACTTAAGCATCCCTAAGTGTTGGGATTACAGGTGTGAGCCACCATGAGTGACCAATCATATTTTTTCATTTTGAGGAAGAAATTACGCAGCCCTTCCTGCCTCTTCTGTCACATAAAGATTGGCTTTTGCATCTCAAAGGTGCAAAGCTATATTTTTATTCCTGGTAAAGCTTATAACTTCTTAGGGAATTAAAATTAAAACGATAACTTTTATGGAAAATTTCAATTATATCTTAAAAATCCTCAAGTACCCATGTACCCAGTTTAATAATTCTTAGAAAATGCTCATCTTGGCCCAATGCAGTGGCTCACACCTGTAATCCTAATACTTTGAAATGCAGAGGTGGGAGCATCGTTTGAGCCCAGAAGTTCAAGACCAGCCTAGGTGACAAAGCAAGACCCTGTCTCTACAAAAAATTAAGAAATTAACCAGGCTTGGTGGCATGTGCCTGTACTCCCAGCTATTAGAGAAGCTGAGATGAGAGGATCGCTTTAGCCCAGGAAGTTGATGCAGTGAGCCATGATCATGTCACTGATCCAGCCTGGGTGACAAAGTGAGACCATGTCAAAAAAAAGAAAAGAAAAGAAATGGTCATTCTGTAAATAGGATGTACCTGTCTGTTCTTAAATATAAAATGGAAAATGGAGAGACAGTACCACTTACTTTGTAAATTAATTCTGTCTTAACATTTTTTGTATGTAAGCCATACAGTCTGATTTCCAGTGATGGGTTATAGATTTGTGCATTTATCTTTCTGAGTCAGACTCAGTGTAGCTGTATTGGATGTTCTCTGTGTATTTCATCATGTTGAAATACAGCCTGTTCTCGGTATTAACTGTGTACTTCTTTTCAGATGGTATATCTTGTTGCTGGATCTAGTTCTTTTGTTTGCATTGGTGCAATGATATGAGGAAAAGGGATTTTAGTAGTTTGGAAATTAGAAGTACTTAATCATTATCTCTATGTACAGATTTCTAAATTTTTGGCTCTGCCCTCAGCCTTTTTCCTGGCTTTAATCTTGCATTTCCTTTTTTT